ACCCACCAGACGCTTCGTGGCCCCACGGGGAGCCCGCATGGCGTACCCGCACCCGATTCGGCACCCCCCTTGCACGTTTCGTGGCCTCATAGGGAGCTCCACCGAAGGCCTCAGTGGCACATTCCGCATGGCGCACCCGCATCCGATTTGGCACTCCCTTCGCACGCTTCGTGGCCCCACGGGAAACTCCAGCGAATGCCCCAGCGGCGCAGTCCGCATGGCGTACGCGCGCCCAGAGCGGCACACCCCATACTCGTTTCGTGGCTCTTTAGGGAATTCCGACGAAGGCCACAACGGCACAGTCCGCCTGGCGCACCCGCGCCCGATTCTGCTCACCCCACACGTTTCGTGGCCCCAAAAAGCGTTCCACCGAAAGCGGGGCTGGCACATTCCGCATGGCGCACCCGCATCCGATTTGGCACACCCATCACACGTTTCGTGGCCCCGTATGGGAGCTCCGCTTAAGGCCCCAGTGGCAGCGCCCGCATGGCGGCCCCGCCCCGACATCTGCTTCTGTTTTTTTTTTTCGGATACTTCGGTACGAAGCAATCTCTCTAGAATTCTACATTCGGTTATGTACATATGTAGATGGATATCTGGACGACCTGTGGACGTGTATATGGACACGTGCCAATATATTGAGATATTTTGGACACTTTTCTTTTCTTTTCTTTTCTTCTTCTTATGATAACCAAGTCGCGTGTTTTTTGTATACTTGTACCTGTAATATGTTTCTTATTATGGCTATTGATGTTTTCGTGCTATGGTTATCGTTGTTATCATTTTGAGTCGTGATCTATACGCATTTACACAGCCCGATCGATTGACATACGGAGTATAAACATACATCATCATATATTCAAAAAGGGAGAGATATCAACAACCAGAGAGAGAGAGAGAGAGAGAGAGCGAGAGAGTGAGAGAGCGAGAGAGAGAGAGAATATCAAGCGAGAGAGAGAGAGAGAGAGGCGACAGCAGAAACAAGGGCAGCCACTCTTCCGTTCCCATTCCCCCGATTCCTTGTGCGCGCGCGGTAGGTGCGGGGGCAACCGCTGCCCCCTCCCATTGCCCACGTTGCGTCGCGTGTGCGCGCGTGCGTGTGTCGAGAGGTAGATCGAGCAGCACTAATCCCCACCTTTTCCCCGAAACCATGTTGGGTGCGCAGAATTTTGGAGGGCAGCTTCGACCTGCTCCCACGCCTCTTAGTGATGTGTATGGGGGTGCAACAGAGCTTCCCCCCCTCCGTCAGGGAGCAGCCGCTTTCTCCTCCCAGCTCGCAGAGAGAGAGAGAGAGAGAGAGAGAGAGAGCGAGAGAGAGAGAGGGAGAGATAGCGAGACAGAGAGAGAGAGAGAGAACAAACACAGACAGAAGTAACAACGAGAGAGGGAGGGAAAACAAGAGAGATAACGCAACCACTCCCCCCATCCGATGTCCCCCTGTGCGTTGCCCGTGGAGGGCGTGAGGGGCAACTGTGAGGGGTAACCGCTGCTTGCTCTTCTTGTCCACTCTGTCTGTGTTGCGTGGAATGTGTGTGTGGGTGGGGGAGGAAGGGAGACATAGGGGCACGTACATATACGTATGTACACAGAGAGAGAGAGAGAGAGAGAACGAGAGATAGAGGTCGAGCGGGACAGAGGAGCGAGAGAGAGAGAGAGAGAACACGAGAGAGAGAGAGAGAGTGACAGAGAGAGGGAGGAAGAGAGAGAGAGCCAGACATAGAAAGAGAGAGAGAGAGAGACAGAGACACAGAGAGTGAGGGAAGGCGAGAGAGAGAGACCGATCTATAGAGAGAGAGAGAGGGGGAGAACGAGAGTGAGAAAGAGAGAGAGAGAGAGAGAACCATACCAACCATTACCCTCACCATCCCCCCTACCCATGCCTCTTGTGTATGCAGAATACGAGAGAGACAGACAGAGAGATGCATAGAGACAGAGAGAGAGAGAGAGCGAGAGAGAGGGAGGAAGAGCGACCACCCTCTACCCCCTCCAACTTGGCGTGGAGACCAACGGGACGACGGGACATCATTCGCAACACATTGACTAGTAAACACAGGAGTAATATATGTATATATATATATATATATAGATGTAGATCTAGGCGTGTATGTATATGTATATGTTTATGAATATGTAACGGTATATAAAGGTACATGTATATGCATATCTATATGTATATGTGTATGTGTATGTATATGTATATGTATATGGATGCGTATAGGTCTATGTATATGTAGATGTGCATGTATATGTATATGTGTATGTATGTACATGTACACGTATATGTATGTGTACATGTGTATGCCTATGCATATGTATATGTACATGTATATGTAAATGTACATGTACATGTATATGTATATGTATATGTATATGTATATGTATATGTACATGTCTATATACATGTATTTGTATATGCATTTGTATGTGTATGTGTGCATGTGTAGGTATACATATGTATATGTATATGTATATGTATATGTATATGTATATGTATATGTATATGTATATGTGTGTGTATATGTATATATGCATATATATATATGTATGTACATGTATTTGTTTATGTACGTGTATATGTATATGCACATGCAGATGCATATGTAAGTGTCTATGTATATGTGTATGTATATGTATATGCATATGCATATGTAGATGTATATGTATGTGTATATATTAATATATACGTATATGTATATGTGTATGTGTATGTATATGTATATGTATATGTATATGCATTTGTTTTTTTTATATGTATGTGTATTTGTATATCTATATGTACATGTGTATGTATATGCATAAGTATATGTATGTATGTATGTATATATTCAGATGTAAACATATGTTTATGTACATTAGAAGTAAGTATTCATTTCAACCAACCGCAACCGCAACCGCAACCATGCGACACATTTCAACCCGTCCATGGGCGCAACCACAACCGCAACCGCGACCAGGCGACACATTGCGACCCGCCCGCGGGCGCAACCGCAACCGCAACCTGGCGACACATTTCAACCCGCCCGCGGGCGCAACCGCAACCGCAACCAGGCGATACATTTCGACCCGCCCGCGGGCGCAACCGCAACCGCAACCGCGACACATTTTTCAACCTGCCTTCGGGCGCAACCGCCCGAGGAGCAGGAGTTGCAAGATCCCGAGGAAGAGGAGGATGGAGAGGAAGAGGAGGGAGAGGGAGCGGGAAGAGGAGATGGGCGGGACGTCCAGGAGGAGGAGGACGAGGAGCAGGAGGGGGATGCAGGGTTGGTCGGTTTTCAGGGGGTTGCAGGAGCAGGTGCCGGTGGAGGAGGACGCCCAATGGCACAATACGTAGGAATATTGAGGGCCTGGAAGATGAGTAGGAGGGGGAGGAGGAGGCCGATGAGGAGGACAATGAGGAGGGGGAGGAGGAGGAGGAGGAGGAGGAGGAGGAGGAGGAGGAGGACGACGACGATGCGTTGCCCGCGGTTGGGCCTCTTGGGGCCCTCTTGGGCCGTCTTGGAACCATCTTCAGGCGCCTTGGAGCACTGTTGGCCTCGGCAGTGTCAATTGTATGTAATTTGCAGGGTTTTGGCCGTGGGGACGCAAGTATGATGTAATTTGCGAGGGTTTGTTGCCTCGGGGACGCACAACTTGTATACTTTGCGAAGGTTTGTGACGTCGGGGACGCGAACATTGCGTAACTTACAAGAAGGATTATGGCTTCGGGGTCGCGAATATTGAATGATTTGCATGGGTTTGTTGCTTCAGGGACGCAAGGGTTTAATGATTAAAATAGGGTTTTGGCCTCGGGGACGTGAATCTTGTTTGACTTACGAGGGCGTATGGCCTCGGGGGCGCGATTCTTATGTATTTTTACATGTCCCACGCCTCCCCGTGAATTCAGAGAGCGCGATCCGGGCGTGGTAAACTGCTGGTTTGGAGCTCCCCGACCTTCGCGCGGACTTCAATAATTTACATTAGAAGCAGGAAGCAGGACTGTAACATTGGAGACTTGAAACTGCAACCAACTGGTGCAGGGAGCAGCAACTTCGCCCTACAGCCTGGTGCCCCCACAAGGGGGCCGGCTGCTATATATGTATATATATATATGTTTATATATATATGTGCATATACATATGTGTATATATATATATATACCAAACGGATTACATCATCATCGATCGAGAGACGATTAGTCGACGCAGAGAGAGAGAGAGAGAGAGTTGGGCGAAACACGGCGAAACAGTGAGAGCGAGATGTACTCTCGGCTTCTGTCGGCATCAATATCATCATCGTCATCATCATCATTCTCATCATCGTCATCAGGTCTGTCATAATCAGCGCAGGCTTTATCAACGTTAACATCGCCATCACGATGCGGTAAACACGTCACAAGTTTCCATTTCAGATACGAAAGCGCAGAACGTCGATCAAAACAGTCTGCCCCAGACAGGCTCGTTGTCACCGTGGGGGGGGGTCGGCATGCCAACGCGGCCTATCGCCCCCCGCGCTTTCGCCGCCCCCGACCGCAGAACCGCAGTTATACTCGGGTCGCTGGCGGGTTGCGCCTAGTCAGTCACATCCTGCGATCTGTGTTGGGGGTGGTGGGTTTTCCGTCAGGGCCCCCCTGGTTTTGTTTTAGCCGGGGACGGCGCGAACCGCTTGCCCGCGCGGCCGTTGGACGGACCCACGTCCGCATTGGTGTGTGTGTGTGAGAGAGTGAATGAGTCATAGTGTGTGTGTGTGTGTCTCTCTCTCTCTCTCTTTCTCACTTATTTCTCCCTCTCTCTCTCTCTCTTTCCTTCTCCCTCCTTCCCTCCCTCCCTTGCCTTCCTGCTTCTTCTGGGCCCCTCTTTCCTCCTCCCTTCCCTCCAGTTCTTCCACCTCCCGTTTCTCCTGCTGCTGCTGCCCCTTCCTCTTATTCCAGCGGCGACAGCGTGGTTGCCGACGACGGCGACGGCGGGCAGGACGACGACGACGAGGACGCGGACGACGACGGGCAAAAGCCGCGCGTGCTCCAGGAACTTGCCGGGGGCCGTGCGGGCCTCGAGCGGCGGCTCCGCGACATGACTGGCCAGCAGCTGCAGGACGAGGCGGGGCCGCTTCGGAGGGGCCCGCCGCGACGCACGCTGCGCGGAGGATGCGCCGACGCCCAAGAGTCCCTCCAGAGCAACACACATGGTTTTCACTAGGGTTCGGCAGGTTTCTACATACTGGCCCCTTCGTAAACCCAAAGCCCAAGACTGCCCAATGTGCCCCCGAGAGGGTTCCAAATTAGCCCAACAGAGTCCCAGAAAGGCCCCAAGACGGATCAGTAACATGCTGGCGTTTGTCATCGTCAGCTGGCTCAGGCTTACCGCAAGACAGCCCAAGGGGGCCCTCGACGGCTCCTTTCCACCCTGCGACGCCAGACCTGCCATCGGCTTCTTGAGCTCCGCCAGCTGCTTGTCAAGCTCAGATTCGCGAGCGGGGGCCATGGATGTGGAACTGCAAGCGGGAAGCTCGAGAGAGGACTACCTTTGAACGCGGTGCCCTTGGATAGGCCACACTGAGAGCACCACTTGTGATCAGCCTTGTTGATCCACGGCGAGTCCGTAGGCTCGTGTGGGCACCATTTGCAGTACCGAGTCGCACCACTTGCAGTACCAAGGCGCGGCCTGCGCGCCACGTTTCTGTTTGGAACCCATGGCGCAACTAGAATGACCCACGCCAGCCGGTGAGGGAGAGTAGTGATGGGCTCAAGGCGGCAGCGCGCAGCTACCCGCCACGGCCACAGAGAAAATGTCAGGCGCAAGGGCGTGGCATAGCCGCGGACCAGCGGTATCCATTTGTTTTGCAAGGAACTTCAAACCTTGAGCCAAAACGGGTATTGAGAGGGGGGTCTGAGGACAGGCAAGTGAGGGGGGGGAATGAGGTCTGGGGAGGAGGGCCCCTCTTTGCTCGTCATTCTGCTTCGCCTTCCCTCCCCCTTCTTCCCTTCTCCCTCCTCCCTTCTCCTTCCTCCCGCCTCTTCCCTCTTCCATTCGCCTCCCTCTTCCCCCCTCACCCTCAGATCAAGGAGGAGGGGGAGGGACCGCAGGAGAGGGGGGTGGGGGCAGGGGGCAGGGCCCTTCGGGCGAAGTGGCCGAAGGCTCTCCTCTTCTGGGATTCTGCCGCTGGTGGCATGTGGAGGAAGCGAAGGCGAAGGAGGAGGAGGAGGCGGAGGAGGTGGATGAGGATGATGATGAGGTGGAGGAGGAGGAGGCGGAGGAGGAGGAGGAGGATCATGATGCGGATTATGCTGATTATGCTGATGATGCTGCTTATAATAACATCATAATGATGATGCTGGTGATGCTGATGATGTTGATAACCATTATGATTCTGCTGATGCTGATGGTGATGCTGATGATGATGCCGATAATTCTGATGATGCTGATGATGATGGTGATGACGACGATGTTTATGATGATGCTGATGATGCTGATAATGATGATGGTGATGCTGATGATGATGATGCTGACGTTGCTGATATGATGATGATGCTCATCATTATGATGATGGTCATTCTGATGATGTTGATGCTGCTGTTGCTGCTGCTGATGATGATGCTGACGATGATGATGATGCTGCTGATGATGACGCTGATGACGATGATCACGCTGATGATGCTGTTGTTATTGATGATGATGAGGGTGGTATTGAAAATAATAATGATGATGATGCTGCTGATGATGATGATGATGATGATGATGCTGATGATGATGATGATGATGATGAGGTTGACGCTGCTGAAGCTGCTGCTGCTGCTGCTGATGATGATGATGATGATGATGATGAGGTTGACGCTGCTGCTGCTGCTGATGCTGATGCAGAAGACGAAGTGGCCGAAGGCTTTCCTCTTCCGGGATTCTGCCGCTGGTGGCATGAGGAGGAGGAGGCGAAGGCGAAGGATGAGGACGCAGAGGAGGAGGAGGAGGAGGAGGATGCCGATGATGCTGTCGATGCTGATGATGCTGCTGCTGATCATGATGATGCTGATCATGATGATGCTGATTATGATGATGCTGGTGATGATGATGCTGTTGCTGCTGCTGATGTTGCTCATGATGATGATGCTGATGATGATGATCATGCTGATCATTATGATGATGATGCTGATGATGGTGATGATGAGGATGATGCTGATCATGATGATGACGATGATGATGATGACGACGACGATAATGATTATGCTGATGATGCTGACGATGATGATGATGATGATGATGATGATGCTGATGAAGCTGCTGACGATGCTAATGATGATGAGGATGCTCATGGTGATGATGATGCTGACGATGATGATGCTGATGCTGATGATGCTGATGATGATGATGATGGTGATGCTGCTGTTGCTGCCGCTGATGATGCTGCTGATGATGTTGCTGCTGATGATGATGCTGATGATGATGCTGCTGATGATGATGATGATGCTTAGGTTGATGACGATGTTGATGATGATGCTGATAATGATGCTGATGATGATGATGATGATGCTGATGATGATGATGATGACGATGATGATGATGATGCGGATGCTGATGATGATGCTGATGATGATGATGATGTTGATGACGATGACGATGATGAGGATGCTGATGATGATGACGATGATGATGCTGATGCTGCTGATGATGATGATGTTGATGACGATGACGATGATGATGACGACGACGATGATGATGATGATGATGATGATAATGATGATGACGATGATGATGATGATGATGATGATGGTGATGATGATGATGTTGGTACTGCTTCTGCTGCTGCTGATGATGATGCTGCTGCTGATGATGATGATGAGGAGGATGAGGAGTAGGATGCTGATGCTGATGATGATGATGCTGATGCTGATGATGATGATGATGATGCTGATGATGATGATGATGATGAAGATTCTGATGATGATGCTGATGATGATGATGATGATGATGCTGCTGGTGATCATGATGATGATGGTGGTGGTGATAAAGATGATGATGCTGCTGATGATGATGATGATGATGATGAAGCTGATGATGATGATGATGATGATGATGATGATGATGATGATGATGATAATGACGATTACGATAACGGTGATGCTGCTGATGCTGATGATGACGCTGATGACGATGACGATGATGATCATGCTGATTATGATGATCAGGATTAACTATGATGATGCTGCTGATGCATCTGCTGATGCTGATGCTGATGCTGATGCTGATGATGATGCTGATGATGATGATGATGATGATGATGATGCTGAGGATGAGAAGGAGGAGGATGAGGAGGCGGAGTGGATTTGAGTGGAAAGGAGTCGACCCCTTGGCGATGCCATTCATGAAGCAATTATGGCTTACATGCACACTCATCACACGAAGCACATGCAACCGATTTGCGTAACCTTCACCATTATTTCCGGTTCCTCGGCCACCGAGGTAGGCATACAATACGTCGCGGGGCCTTCGCTGGTCTTACAGGTTCCTCGGCCATACCGGGCAAGAGTTCCACCGTGAACAAAGAACGAGTGAAGTCCGTAACCACCATGACCAAGATGGCGATTTTTGAATGGTATGTTGCGTAACGCCATGCGCATGCATAGGATATCCGCTCACCGCGCACGCAGCAGCTCCGCGGAGAGACGAGTATGCCGATGCGAAATCTGCTGACGCAAGTGGAATCTAGCAGCTGGGTGAAGGGTTAGACGAGATCCACCCGAACCTCACTGCCGAGCCACGACCCACCCGCAAGAAGTGTTTCGTAGCTTCACGACAGCCGCCCTGGCATGCCACGACATGCAATGTAATCGCCGCCTGCGCAATGCCAGATCCTTACTATTGCATTGCGCGAAGACAAATCAACCCAACACTGAATTCGAATCTGGAGCCCCACTCCACCCAGTGACCACCTGCTTGGTCCAGTTCGCCCAGGGACATGTGGAAAGTGCTTACGCCTGACGTGCCTTGCTCGCCCTGCGCTTGGGGTGGACGTTGCAGAATCAGTGCAGGCCTGGACAGACACGGAACACATACCTTAGCACATGCCGAGACCACACCTACCTGAGCCCGATGTGACGATTTGACAGCAGCAGGCGAACAGGGTGTTGCAATATTCTAGCTTGTTTGATGCCTTTGCCCAAGGCCTGTAATATGATACCAGGGCTGACACATTTACATCTCTCTTACTCAACCTTTCGGACAGTCAGTTGTTCCTCAAAACGATCGCAAGGACGCGAACGCAAACGCGGTGGGGAGGGCTCCAAGCGAAACAGCCCACATTAATTGAACTGGCTTTGGACGCTTGGGCGCCATGTGCTTGGGGAGGAGTAAGAGGGAGAAGGGACGCAGGAGGAGGAGAAGCAGGAGGAGGAGGATGGGGATGGGTGGGGGGGAGGGGGAGGAGGAGGAGGAGCAGGAGGGGGGGAGGAGGAGGAGGAGGATGAGGAGAAGGAGGAGGAGAGAGGAGGAGGAGGGAGGAGGAGGAGGAGGAGGAGGACGAGGAGGAGAGGAGGAGGAGGAGGAGGAGGAGGGGGATGGGGGGTGGGGAGGAGAAGGAGCAGGAGGAGGAGGAGCAGGAGGAGGAGGAGGAGGAGGAGGAGGAGGAAGCCATGAGGAGGAGAAGGGGGGACGGAGGTTTTTGGAGGAGCGGGGGCCCGTGGCGTGCCTTGCCTCAGCCTCCCGTCCCACCTTTGCCTCCGTCCCTCCCAGGAGGCCACGAGCACTGATTTCCCGATGGTTTCTGCCGGATTTTGGCAGTCTCGCCTTTTCGGCCTCCCGACGCTCCCAGACGGCCCAAGAGGCCCCCAAGACCACCCCAGAGCGGGCCAAGAGGCCACCCAGGGGGCCCCGAGATGGGCCTGAGAGCGCTCCACGACGGCCCAAGAGGCGCTCCAAGACGGCCCAAGAGGGCTCCAAGACAGCCCCCCGCCCCTCTACCCTGGCTTTGTCTGGAAGATAGCCGGCCCTCTATGCGCTCATTGCTTTTGCGCAGAATCTCAAACGTTGGCTGCTCTCATGCTTTTTACGATCCGACTGTTCTCGTTATGCCACAATGTCAGACCGGCGCTCTCGCTCCAGCGCGGGCGACTTTTCTGGATCCGATTTCTTTTTTAATCTTCGTCGCTCCCCATCCTTTCCCCTCCTCCGCCTTCGCCTGGTCCTCCTGCTCCTCCCGTTCCTTCCGCTCCAGTTCCCGCTGCTGCTGTTCGTCCTCGTCCTCCAAATCCTCCTCATCCTTCCTCATCCTCCTTTTCCCCCTGCCCATCCTCCTGCTCATCCGCAACTCCTGCTCCTCCTCCTCCTCCTCCTTTTCCCCTCCTATGTACGCAGCGCCAATTTTCCTGATAGCGCATCAGTCGATTGGGTCTCCTTTGGAGTTCCAGGTCCGCTATGACACGCGTCAGCGGATAGGGAACACGTCAGCGCAATGAGAAGGGGATGGGTGGGAGGGGTAGGATTCCAGACATGGCGCGAGCGCACCTAGCTTGCCTATCGCTTCTTGCCGTCCTCCCTTCTTTCTCCTCCTGCCTTCCTCCTCCCGCCTCCCTCGAGGCAGGGAGGAATGGATGGATCGGGAGGATCATTTGCACTCGGATGCCTGCCTGCCTGTCCTTGGCCTGCCGAGGGTTCCCCGAGTCCTGGCCAGGTCGCGCTGCAGGAGAGGTCGGGCCCACGCCTCGTCTGTGTCATGCGCGTCTTCTCTCATCCCCACGCCTCCCTTACTTGTTCTCTCCTTTGCCCTCCCCCTCCCCTCTCTTCTTTGGGATCTGACAGCGTCGGTGGAAGCGGCACGCCTTGCGGGCTGACCGCTAGGTGTCTGAGCCTTCCTCGGGCATGCGAAAACACCAGGACGGGCAGTGGATCTCGACCCAGGCCTGCGATGCACTGATGTCACACGCTTCCTCCTTTTATATTCCCGCCCTCGGTAGCAGACTCCCCTCGAACAGCATCCCCAGGTTCAGACAGCTCTCGCGAAGATGCGAGAGGCGAGGACTGCATGGCGCTGGGACGACCCAGTTTGAGAGGTCGTCCCTCGCTGGCGCGGGAGGGTGCGAGGTCATGGCCCTGCAAGATTGGCGTGCGAAGGCGAACGGGCGCATGACGACTCTGGAGAAGAGGGCCGCCTGGGCTTTCCTCGGCGGGAGGGGGCCATGCCCGGGTGACAGGGAACATGTCATTGTGTGAAGAGGATGGAGAAGAGAGAGAGTGAAAGAGAGCGAGGGAGGGAGAACATCATACATCTAGATATAGAAAGTGAGCAAGAGAGGGAGAGAGAGAGAGAGAGAGAGGGAGACAGACATAAGGAGAGACGCAGGGAGAGAGAGAGAGAGAGAGAACGAGCGAGCGAGCGATAGAGAGTATAAGAGAGAGAGGGAGATACCAAGATATTAGCGTCAAGCATGTCGTGCAGCCGACGGGCGGGAGCATGTGCTATAGATGCGTGTATACGTGTGTTCGTTCTATATACACATCTGAGAGAGGGAGAGGGAGAGAGGTAGAGAGAGACAGAGAGAGAGAGAGTGAGAGAGATCTGGAGAGAGAGAGAGAGAGAGAGAGGAAGGGGAGAGATACAGGCAGGGAACGAGATAACGAGAGGGAGCGAGGGAGATGAACCGAGAGAGAGAGAGAGAAGAGAGAGAGAGAGCAGGTCATTGGGTTTTGGGCGCTTCGTTAGCCGCACGGTATGTTGTGGGCAGATCGAACAGAGCAGAGTGTGGTTGGGACAATCGATGTGGCACTTTCGCTGCGCGGGTCAACCAGGAATGGGGGTGATGCAGAGATAACGCGGCATAAGTTTTTTAAATGATCAGAAATGGGGTAAGGAGCGTTGACTGGGTACATTTCCAGATATGTTGAGACATTTGTTGGCCAGAGTTGGAGCATGGCTTTCATTAACTGGTCTGTGATTCATACAGAGCGGAGGGCAGCACGATTGTCCATGAGGGTGCATGAGTGAGTGGGAGTTCAGGGACACGAGTGTTTGTTTCGTCGATGGGGAGGTTGCAGTGTGCGTGTGTGGACTTCATGGATACGTAGCAATTTGAACATTTGTACATGCGATGGCATGGACATCTACACATGTATGTACATGTGAATGTGTATAAACGCGCTCGTGCACACACGCAGACAGTGCGTATCCGAGCTTAGGTGGGGAAGGCCGACGTGGTACGGAATACCCCCGCCCCGCCCAGCATTCGGTTGCGTTTTCGCTTCGGTTCGTGTCGTGCGTGTGGTCGAGGCGAAGTTGCGTCTGCGGGCGAGTGGCGAGAGTCAGCCCCAGCAAGAGGCAGCTTTGACACGCTAGCTTTTCCTGTCCGGGAACGCGGCCTTGCGGGCCGCGGTTGCCCTGCTAAATTTTCTCCTGTCCCATGGACCGGGCCCGATTGCTGTCCTGTGCAGTTGTCCGGTGTTTGTTAACAGAAGGTGACGGATCGCTTAATGTATCTGTAATGTTTGTGTTCGCACACATACTTGAATGTATATTTATATGCACATGTGTACATACATGTGTACATATATGTACGTACAATGGGACATGGCGTGAAGAGTTATGAGTGGCTGATGGAGCAAATTGAAGAAAATATGTTGCGAGAAAAAGAAGAGTGGAACATCAGCGTGCATGAGGGCACCTTGAATCAGCGTGCTAGGCAAGCACGATTCGGCGGAGGCGGAGGCAATGGCAACCTGAAGAATGCCGGCGGCAAAGTCGCTCCGGCAGAGATTGCCGCTAAATTGGGGAAACCCACAGACGTCATGAAAAGCGGAATGACTGAGGGCGAAACCGCGTGCAGATACGTGCGTAAGGCGAATCTTGCCCGTGCGCAGGGAAAGGCTGCCCCTTCAATCATAAGAAGCCCAAGAATGCCGCACCGGCTCAGCCGAGTACGGGAAGAAAATCCAGTGCCGCTCCTGCCCAGGATCAGAACCCTAGAGGGAGATCGAAAGACCAGTGCCGCAAGGGGCAGGGCCGATCTCAGACCCCGACTGGTAACCGTGGGAAAGGAGGACAGCAGAATAATAGAAGCCAATCACGTGGGAAAGAGAGTACCATACCGTGTTACGCATTCTCCCGAGATCCAAAGAATTGTCGAGGACCAGAAGACGGATGTAACAAAGCCCACAGAGGGCTATCAGATGCTGAGAAGCTGAAGCGTGACAAGTGGGAACGAGCGAAACTTGACGCGGGACAATCTTTGGGGTATGAGCGTGCAGCAAGCAGGCCAATGCCGCCGCCGCCAATATTTCTTCGACGGGAAGCAACAGTGGCTCCAGAGCCTCTAGTGCGAACTCAGACAAACGTAAAAAGGATGGAGACAGAAACAAAGGCAATGGCAAAGGCAAAGACATGGTCTGCCGCTCCTACAAGGAGACGGGAAAATGCTCGCGCGGTAAGGAATGCTGGCTCGCCAAGACCACTCCAGGTCATCCAGGTCATCCGTGACGATGGCTCCGCACTGGCGGCTCAGCCGTCAGTGCAGGAGAAATGATAAGTATAATTTTGTTAATGGTCTTCTTTCTTGCCTTACTTGCTCGACAGATGCGGCGAAGCCTGCGTCAGTTGAACAAAAAGCGGGGGGGTTGGAAGAGACCCGCTGATTCAATCAGCTTGGGTGCCATCGCGTGCCCCGCCCCGTTATTTCGGGGCCTCCCAGGGCAGAAACAAACCAGCCCTAAGTTTTTGATTATTGCAACTGAGGCCGATGGAGGAGACTACTGGGATACCTCCAAAGGTGAGTTTCACCAGGATAGCAGGAAACAGGTCGAGAGTCTCGTCAATATCCTTTCGAATTCCCTGTGCCCTCTTTCTCGGGGCGCGATCGAGAAGTACTGGTGCGTCCCCCCTAGTGCGAGTTGCATCCGACATCGGAACAGTGAAGGATGCAATCTCCGTGTCCGTTTTCACCCCTCTACTGATGGGGCCGACTATCACTTGGAGGAAGGCGCGTCGCCATGACTTGAAAGAGTTGCCTTCGAGTAGCAAAGACAGGTGGAAGTTCCCGGGGGAAATGCGCAGACAGATGCCGATGCAGTCAAGGGCATCCGTCGCTGAAGCTCTGATCAGAGCGTCAGACCTGCAAGATGATGTCTGGCATCTCTGGTTGAAAGACGAGGGGGGGGGGGGGGGGGGGGGCGCGCGGGCGCAGCCGCTGCTGGATGCACAGACAAAGACGCTGCGTATCTGGGGGCGCTGAGCTTCATTATAGATACTGGGTGCGAGTATAACTTAATAGCGGAGAAATATTAGGAGCGCAGGTGCAATGGTATTGATTCGAAGGCTTCCGCAATCGATCGCTCTGAACACTGCTGGGGGGGGGGGGGGGGGGTCTAAGGCCCTCGGTTCAGTTCGCATCGCGTGTCCCAAGTTTAAGGGTGGTAGTTTTAACGCTTTAGTCATGCCGGAAACCCCGTGCGTGATATCGGTGGGAGAGCGGTGCATGGATCGCGGCTTTAGTTTCTTTTGGCCTGCAGGTCAAGGGTCCTATCTATTGTTGCCCAATGGCCAAAGAGTGGACCTGGCCGTTGAGGGCAAGATACCATGCTTGACCCTATCAGGCAAGGAGGCGCTGGGTCAGTGGATGTGCGCAGCTGCCGCCGGAAGGAGTGAGCCCCCCGAGCGGTGGCGTTGCGTGGCGCCGGGCGCCGAGGCATTTCTGGACAACGTGGAATCGGCGGGGGGCCCTCCGCCCCATGCTGTCCAGACTCGCGTAACCATAGACCTGCATGCACATGAGTTGATTGGTACCCGCAGCTACGCTGACGGGCGGCCGACTGAGATCGCGCCCGTTTTCCCGTCTTCGAAAGACTCTGCGGATACCATCACCTACTTCTACTATTCGCCTCAAAACGCCAGCGAATGCGGTTGGAATCGGTCGCCGACCGGTATTGCTGCCTCTAAGAGTCTCTCAGCTTTGCCCGACCACGGTCAAGCCGTCGGTCCATTCGACGAGCAGCCCGGCAAAGCCGAGGCCTGCGCTGCCGCATACAGATGCCAATGCGGATACGGAGTTTCAGGGTGCCTCCCGTGCGAAGTGAACCGAGGACTGGACTCCAGTGCGTGCAACGCGGCCCCAGGACCCGAAGAGGGCGAGGTTAGAGACGCTGACGGCGTCGACTTAGTCGACGTCGACGCACCGCCAGATTTAGACCCAGATGTTGCGGAGGTTGAGGTGTCGGAGACCCTTGCCGAGCGGCTCAAAAAGGCCGCGGCCTCCCTACCGCACCTTCTAACTCATACTCCCAAGAACCCATATTGTCCAGTGTGCAAGTGGGCCAAAGCTATTAGAAAGCAGCAGCGCACAGCGCAGAACAAAGGGCTAAAGGTTCCCCGCCCATGCGCTAACCCCACGTCGTTCGGACAACTGACGACGATGGATCATTGGTTTGCGATGGATGAACTCTCGCGGGGGCTCCACGATGAGACCGCGTGTGTGACTTTTCGCGACTGAGCTACGGATTTTCTCGCCGCTCAGAGTGTACGCGACAAGTCTGCGGTTCACGTTTGTAACTTTTTAGTAAACCTGAGAGCCCAGGAGGAAAGTTATAATGTTGTTATACAGATGGTGCAGGAGAGCTTGCCGGGGCATGTTACGAGCTCAATATTGCCCATGATCCTACCTTTCCAGGAAATAAGAAGCAGAATGCTGTCGCTGAGCGTGCGAACGGTGTTGTGCAAATGGGAGCCAGAGCCTTACTAATGCAGGCTGGTCTTCCACCGCCATATTGGACCTACGCAGTCCGATACTTCTGCCTATGCTACAATACTCGGACCTCCGCTGAAGGACAGCCCAGTTGGGAGCGACGCTTCGGATGTCAATTTAATGCTCCGCTTCTTCCCTTCGGATCACTTGCCCGTTATGTGCCTCCACCTGAATCCCGGTTTCGAACCGCCAAAACTGGTGCAACGATGATTCCAGGGATATACTTGGGGTATGTGCACAAAGCGGGGGGATTGGTTGGACCAGATAGTTACGTTATACCTTTGAGACAATTGGACGGCCTGAATATGGAATCAGGGCGCACCCCAGAGGGAAAACGACCTACGATTGAGAAGTCTGATCAGGTGTACAGCAACATCTTGGATGGTACTGCTGATGACCAGTCGCCTCAGTTTCCCTTGCGAAAAGCGTACGAGAAAGC